TCATAACTGATCAAACAACATGTGCCAACTGTGGCGGCCCCCATAGTGTATTTTATAGGGGCTGCCCCACCTACAAATTTGAGTCTGGGTTGGCAACTCTCAGGTTCAGACTTGGACTCTACGTGAAGCCAAACAGTCGACAAGTTTCTCTTACTCTACTGCCCCTGCCCCTCCCTCCCAAGATGTTCCTACACCCTCTCCTATGCCTATCCCTCCTCCATCTTACTTCCTCTCTTCTACCTCCTACCTTCCCCATTCAAATCCTTTGCCATCCTAAAGCCAGACACTCCAATCTCTACTGCAGCCCCAACACCTTTCCTTCTCCCTCCACGCACTGCCCGCGACACATGGACCAAACGTTCACCCCTTCTTCTCCTACCACACACTCGCCTCCACCTACCTTCACCTCTACTCTTCAGATACCAGTCTTCTGCCCCCTCCCCCCCCCTCATAAGAACACCCAAACTGACACTAAAACCCCTCATCACCCACCCTCCAATTCCACACTTCCCGCTCCCTCCACCCTCAAAGTGACAGCCGATATCCATCCTCCTCTTCATATCCGCCTACACCCCTTCCTCCTGCCCCCTCCTAACACAGCCCCCCCCCCCAGGAGAGAGAGAGAGAGAGAGAGAGAGAGAGAGAGAGAGAGAGAGAGAGAGAGAGAGAGAGAGAGAGAGAGAGAGAGAGAGAGAGAGAGAGAGGGGGACAAGCACTGCCAAATTACCTTCGTTTATTTTATTATTTTTTTTTTACAATATGTTTTTCCATATTCTCGTTATTTCTTCTTCACAAAAATCACCAACGTATCTTCCGCCTCATCATCACCATCACCATCATCATCATCACCATCACCATCATCATCATCACCATCATCACCATCACCATCACCATCATCATCACCATCATCACCATCACCATCATCATCACCATCATCACCATCACCACCATCACCATCACCATCATCACCATCACCATCATCACCACCATCACCATCATCATCACCATCATCACCATCACCATCACCATCATCACCATCACCATCATCACCATCACCATCATCGTCGTCATCATCGGTACATCCTCTTCCGCCTGCACACCATCATCATCATCATCATTATTAATACATCTTCATCCTCGTCATATTCATCATCATCATCACTATCGTCCCCATCATAACCATCATTACATCCTCCTCCTCCTCCTCATTAACATCATCACTATGATCATCGCCATCATCATCATCCTGGCACACATACATTCTAGTGACCTGTTCTCGTGATCTCCCTCGTCTTACATACCAGAAAAGCCATGTGTTCCTTATCTCACAGTAATTCCACTGTCCTCAGCCGACTCCACTAGGTCTACACCCGTGAAAATGACAAATGACCTTAGAACCCGCTATTCCAACCCGTATTGCTTGTGAACAATTCCCGTGCTATTATTCCGTTGTTTATGTGTGTAATTATAAGTTGTTTATACTCAAAATGTTCGTTGGAAAGTGCTTATTCTGAATTACCAATTGTGTTACCGCTAACATTGCCTATATGCAAATGTCTTTATGTTTTGTGTTTGCTCAGCATTTTTGTGTCCTTATCTCGAAGCTTTTTAGTCATGTAAACACCATAGCTCTTCTTACACACAACCGTGTGTATAA